CCTCCCTCCCTCCCTCCCTCCCTCCCTTCCTTCCTTCCTTCCTTCCTTCCTTCTGTTGTTTTTTTGAGACACAGTCTCCTTCTGTCGCTCAGGCTGGAATGCAGCAGCACGATCTTGGCTCACTGCAACCTCCACCTCCAGGGTTCAAGCAATTCTCCTGCCTCAGCCTCCTGAGTAGCTGGGATTACAGGTGCCCACCTCCACGCTCAGCTAATTTTTTGTATTTTTAGTAGAGACGGGGTTTCACCATGTTGGCCAGGCTGTTCTCGAACTCCTGACCTCAGGTGATCCATCTGCCTCGGCCTCCCAAAAGTGTTAGAATTACAGGCATGAGCCACAGCACCCAGCCTTCATTATTATTATTTTCATCATCTAAGCCAGGAGTCAGTAAACTTCTCTGTAAAGGACCAGATTGTAAATATTTTTGGCTTTTATGGGTCCTTCAGTCTCGGTCACTGCTCAATTGTGCTGCTGTGTCTCCAGAGTACCTATGGACAATATGGTAAATTAGCAAACGGGTGTGGCTGTATTTCCATAAAACTTTTCTTACCAAAGCAGGTGATGGGCTGGATTTGGTCCATGGGTCACAGTTTGCTGGACCCCAGTCTAGGACCCTGAGGCCTCTATTGCTGGTGTCTGAGCAGAAAGTGGGGCTGGGCTTTGGTGTGAAATTCACGCATCCATGTGCAGACTGCTGATTTGTGAGTGTGTTGAGGGAAGGGGTTGATTACCTTTGAAACCCCATTCTGGGTTCTCAGGAGCACATGAGAAGGGTAGAGCAAGTGTGTGTGGTTAAATGACTTGTTCCTGATGTCTAGATACTTGTGCTCTTAATGATCCCGGAAGATGTTGGCCAAGATCTAGGGGTGATCAAAACTGACAAGACAAACTCAGAGTGAGGCTGGGTGCAGTGGCTCAAGCCTATAATCCCAGCACTTTGGGAGGCTGAGGTGGGTAGATCACCTGAGGTCAGGAGTTCGAGACCAGCCTAGTCAACGTGGTGAAACCCCGTCTCTACTAAAAATACAAAAATTAGCTGGGCATGGTGGTGCACACCTGTGGTACGAGCTACTTGGGAGGCTGAGGCAGGAGAATCACTTGAACCAGGGAGGAGGAGGTTGCGGTGAGCTGAGATTGCACCACTGCATTACAGCCTGGGCAACAGAGCAAGACTCTGTCTCAAAAAATAAAAAAAAAAAAGAAAAAAGAAGAACTCAGAGTGCTGGTCCCGCTGCCCTTAAGCGGCATCAGTGCCAGGTGCAGTGGTTCACGCTGGTAATCCCAGCACTTTGGGAGGCCGAGGCGGGTGGCAGATTACCTGAGGTTGGGAGTTTCGAGACCAGCCTGACCAACATGGAGAAACCCCATCTCTACTAAAAATACAAAATTAGTCAGGTGTGGTGGCGCATGCCCGTAATCCTAGCTACTTGGAAGGCTGAGGCAGGAGAATTGCTTGAATCCGGGAGGTGGAGGTTGCAGTGAGCCAAGATCGCACCATTGTACTCCAGCCTGGGCAACAAGAGTGAAACTCCATCTCAAAAAAGAAAAAAAAAAAAGACATCAGCATAATCAGAGCCACCAGTAGTGCCAATTCTCTCGAAGCCAGGAGCCCTTTCCCTACACAGTCTCATTTAATTCTCACAAAAACCCCATCAGGTAGGGCCTATTATAATCACCCCAGGTTAAGAAGGAGGAAACTGGATGGGCACAGTGGCTCACGGCTGTAATCCCAGCACTTTGGGAGGCCTAGGTAGGAGGATCACTTGAGCCCAGGAGTTCAAGACCAGCCTGGGCAGTATGGTGAAACCCTGTCTTTACAAATTTTTTTTTGTATTTTGTAAAAAATACAAAAATTAACCAGGCATGGTGGCGTGTACCTGTGGTCCCAGCTACTTGGGAGGCTGAGGTGGGAGGATCACCTGAGCCCAGGAGGTTGAGGCTGTAGTGAGCCATGATCTGATTGTCCCGCCACTGGGTGACTGAGAGAGCCCTTGCCTCAAAAAAAGAAAATGAAAACAAAGGAGGAAACTCCAGCATGGCCAAGCTGGTGAAACCCCGTCTCTGCTAAAAATACAAAAATTAGCTGAGCATGATGGCGGGCGCCTGTAATCCCAGCTACTGGGGACAAGTGAGGTAGGAGAATCACTTGAACCTGGGAGGCAGAGGTTGCAGCGATGCAGTGAGCCAAGATCGCGCGACTGCACTCCAGCCTGGGCGACAACCAGAGACTCCATCTCAAAAAAAAAAAAAAAAAAGGGGAAACTGAGGCTCAGAGAGACAAGGCCGGTTGCATGATGTCACACGGCTGGAGAGGGCAGGGATTGGCGCTTGCATCTTTCCGACGTCAAACATATTCCTTTCCACCTTCTCTGGCTAAAAGGGGTGCAGCCCATGGGTGACCCTCCAACCCTGCCCTGTACCCGGGCCCTGTGTGCCTTCCCGGGCCAGCGGGCAGTCGTCGGAGCTCAGCCCTACTGCTTGGCACCCCCCTCTGGAGGCCCCATCTTGGTTCTCGCCCCTCCCTTCCTCACCCGAGCCAGCTTCCTGGCCCTCCCAGGCTGGCTGATGGATGGCCCAGCCCTGGCTGGCTTGACTCAGTCTAGCTTTTCCTCGTGGACTGCCAGGGCCGCCTCCTGTCCTTCTGCTCACCACCCTCGCCTGCCCGGCAGGTCGGGCAAGTGAGTGACTCACACACCTGGGCCCTGTGTGGGCCCAGCCCTGGGAGCCAGTGTACTCACCCTCTGGGCTCCTGCCTGCCCTTCCAGCTACTTCAACCGACAGACGGGACCCTTCCCAATAGAAGGGGGCTGCCCCTGTCACTTGTGCTCCCTTCCCGGAGGACTGCGATTGGACTGCATAGGATTGAGGTCAGTTTCCTTTCTGTTTTTAACCATCTCTGCCCCTCGCTGAGTTGGAGGAAAATCTTTTGGAGGTCGTGGGGGAGGGGTCCCCGCTGTCGTTGACACCCTTGTGCATCAGGCCCAGGGACACCCTGCTCCCTCTCAGCAGGTTCTGGAGCTTGGGGCCACCTTGGGATGGACTCGGTGAGGAGAACCAGGCTGGGTGCCTCTATGGGTGTGACCCCAACCCTGCAGGTCACGGCAGGTCACGGCAACCTGGAGTGAGAACGGCAGAGGTGGACTGCAAGGGCATGTGTAGGGGGGTGCTTTCCTCACTTCCTTCTTAGGGTCACAGAGTGAGGGACGCAGCTTGAGATGGCTTCAGTTCAATGGCATCATTTTACAGCTGGGAAAACTGAGGCTTGGGGGAGAAGGAGTAACGAAGGTGGATTGATGCATTGATGGTGGAACTGGGGCTAGAAGCTGGACTGGCTGACTCCCTGCCCAGGGCTCCTTCCTTGGTCCTCCTGGCTCCTGGCTGTTTCCCCCTGCTTTCCCCCCGCCCACCCACCCCCGTTAGCTCTCTCCCATGTCATCCGGGCGTCAGCAGGGAGGAGGAATGCAGCTGGTGGGAGCCATTTCACAGGGGGATTTTATGGGCTCACAGTTGGAAGGCATTTTGAAGGTCATCCAGGCCATGAACCTCCGACAGGTGGCTGTTTAGCCACAGCTTGACTATCCCTGGGAATGGAGAGCTCACTTTTTTTTTTTTTCCCTGAAATGGAGTTTCCCTCTTGTTGCCCAGGCTGGAGTGCAATGGCACGATCTTGGCTTACCACAACCTCCACCTCCCAGGTTGAAGCGATTCTCCTGCCTCAGCCTCCCGAGTAGCTGGGATTACAGGCATGCGCCACCACGCCCAGATAATTTTGTATTTTTAGTAGAGACAGGGTTTCTCCATGTTGGTCAGGCTGGTCTCGAACTGCCAACCTCAGGTGATCCACCTGCCTTGGCCTCCCAAAGTGCTGGGATTACAGGCGTAGCGCTCACTGTTTTTGGAGGCAGTCTCTTTTATTTGCATGGCCAGTGTCTGGCAAATTACTGGGCACTTACTTCGTGGCGAGCACTTTGCTAACAAAGTACAGTAGGTGTGCAAATGCCTTTCATCCCCGACACCCCAATGAGATAAGTGTTATTGGTATTACTCTTATTTTATAGCAGAGGAAACAGGCACAGAGAGGTTAAGTAACTTACTCAAGATTTCAGAGCTTGAGGAGGAGGAGCCGAGTTTTGAACCCAGGGAGTGTGGTTCCAGGGCTCAGCCAAGGTCTTAGCTGCTGTACTTGGCTGCTACCATAGGAGAACGGGACTTCCTAGGGAGGGGGTCCTGCCTGGCATGGTGAAGCTGAGGTTGGAAGGGGGACATTTAGGTGACTGTGTGACGCTCTGGTTGATTGGCCTCCTGGGGCTGAAATGCCACCATCCAAGCTCTTCTCCTGTCACCTGCTTTGCCTCCTTGGCAGATTACCCTATCCTCACATAGCCCCCAGCTACCAGAATCCAGGACCAATGACTGATGACTCCCAGGACAGTTGCGTGCAATAACAGAGGGAGGGTTGAAAGCTGTGGCTCGGGATCTCTGACACCACTGTCAGGGTTTCCTTGGAGTGTCCTGGGCAAAGGAGGCAGGAGGTGAGAGTGGGCATGGCAGAGGGGTGGGAGGGGCCTGGGCCCTGCGTCTGTTTCCTTCTTAACATTTTGACCTCCTGGAGTGGCACCTCATGTGCTGCCTGTCCACCCCACCTTGCCCATCTATTGAGGGGAGCTTGGTGGTTAATGAGGGCAGCGCCTCATCCTATGGTGCTGGACAGTTTACAAAGCCAGCAGACGCTGTCCTGAAGGGTGCTCACAACAGCCTGGGGAGCTGGGAAGGGCAGGAATTGTGATAATGCTCATAGTTGAGGGATGGAGGCTCAGAGAGGTCAGGTGAGCTGCCTGGGGCCGCACAGCTAAGTGATGGAACAGAGTCAGATCCTGCCTCTCCAACCTCCCAACCCCCGGCTTCTAACAGAGCATGCTCCACACCAAGGCTGGCTCCTCCTCTATGTGGTTTTTCCTCCAGAGAAATCTTCGTCAGGGGCAGAAGTGTCAGGGCTGCTGAGGCAGGGCTGTCTCCCCAACTTTTGGCCCCTAAATCAGAGTCTCCTGAGGTGGCAGAAGAGAGGGCTACCCCTCTCTTCTGTCCCCGCAAAGGCTTGCTCTGAGTGTAATGCCAGGAGTCCTTCTGGCTGGATCTCTTCAGTTAATGAGACTTTGGGACTTTCAGGGGGATGACTGGCCTGGCTCCATTCACATCCCCGATATCTTCTTCCTAGACTTCCTCTCCAGGGCAGTCATGGGAACAAGAGATTCTTAAATTGATCCCATCCTGTCTTCTCCTTCTCCTAATGATAATACTAATCACAGCAATATTAACTACTAATGCTAGTCATGTTCCTGGTGGCACACATCTGTGGTCTCAGTTACTCGGGGGACTGAGATGGAAGGATCGCCTGAGCCCAGAAGTTTGAGGCTGCAGTGAACTGTGATTGCCATTGCTACATTTTCTTTTTCTTTTCTTTTTTTATTTTGGAGATGGGGTCTAGCTCTGTTGCCCAGACTGGAGTGCAGTGGTGTGATCCCGGCTCACTGCAACATCTGCCTCCTGAGTTCAAGTGATTCTCCTGCCTCAGCCTCCCAAGTAGCTGGGACTACAGGCGCCCACCACCATGCCTGGCTAATTTTTGTATTCTCAGTAGAGATGGGGTTTCACCATGTTGGCCAGGCTGGTCTCGAATTCCTGGCCTCAAGTAATCAGCCCGCCTTGGCCTCCTAAAGTGCTGGGGTTACAGGCGTGAGCCACTGCACCCAGCCCACCATTGCTACATTTTCATTTATTGGGCACCCACCGTATACCAAGCTCTGTGCCAGGCATCCTTTAGGCCATAGCTCATTGAGCCCTCCTGGCAACCCCATTTCACAGATGAGGAAGCTGAGGTCCAGAAAGATGAAGTCACTTGCCCTGGGTCACATAGCTGGTCAATGACACTGAAATCACCAGTCAGAAAGTTGAAAGCACACTTCACCCTAAGTCACCACCCAAGGTCACACACTGTTCATGGCACAGCCAAGACTAGAGCCTGGCTTGGCTGAATCCTGATTTCCTGCTCTTCCCACTCAGTGCCTCTGGGTTGGGCTACAGTGGGACTTTTGAGCCATGGATTCTAGAGTTGTTTCTGCCTTTATAGGACATTAAACAAGCCACTGAATCTCTTGTGGCCTGGGTCACACCATCTGAGTGCAGGGACTGGTGATTTATTCTCTGCGAATGATAGTCATGTCTGGGAATGCTTTTCAACACTGGCACATGCACACAGAGAATTAGTATGAAGAGAGGTAATTACCCAAGCCATATCTCCAGTCTCTTCTGTGACTGAAAGCTTTGGTATTTAATCCTTAGAATGAACTTGGACCTCCGGATATGGTGGCTCATGCCTGTAGTCCCAGCACTTTGAGAGGCTGAGGCAGATGGATCACATGAGGTCAGGAGTTCGAGACCAGCCTGGTGAACATGGCAAAACCTCATCTCTACTAAAATACAAAAATTAGCTGGGCAGAGTGTTGTGCACCTGTAATCCCAGCTACTCAAGAAGCTGAGGCAGGAGAATCGCTTGAACCTGGGAGGTGGAGGTTGCAGTGAGCTGAGATTGTGTCACTGCACTCCAGCTTGGGTGACAGAGGGAGACTCCGTCTCAAGAAAAAAAAAAAACAAAAAAAGAATGACCTTGGACCAGACTGGGCAACATAGTAAAACCCCAACTCTACAAAAAACAAACAAACAAACAAAAATTAGCCTGGTGTAGTGGCTCACCTGTTGTTCCAGCTTCTCAGGAGGCTGAGGTAGGAGGATCACTTGAGCCCAGGAGGTCGAGGCTGCAGTGAGCCAAGATGGTACTACTGCACTCCATCCTGGGCAGCAGAGTGAGACCCTGTCTCAAGGAAAATTTTATATATATATATATGTGTGTGTGTGTGTGTGTGTGTGTGTGTGTGTGTGTGTATAAAATGACTTTGGGATGCAGGAACACAAGCCATGTTCTATTGTAGGGAAGCTGAGACTCAGGGACATGAACTCACTCACTCAAGGTCATAGGACCAGGAGATGGGGAACCAAGGATTTGAACTTGGTCTGGTCTTCATGTTCCCAGAAGTAAGCACCTCCCATCATGTAGAGAGGCAGCTCCCCGGGGAATGAGAGTCTCCCAGGGTACTCAGACGAGAAGCAGTGAACAAGTTTGGAGCATGGACTCCTTGGATTCCAGGAGACCAGGCTTATAGGAACAAAGTTTAGGAGCTTAGCAGGTAGGTCTGAGGCAGGTGGCCTGGTGCTGCCACCAAGTAAGTCCTCTTCTCCCCTGCTCAGGCCTGCTCCCATTTTTTCCTTCAGCAGAATGACAGAGACCCCCTTCCCCCATCCTTCCTTGTCTCAGAAACAGAGGCAGCCTTTGTTTCAAGGGGAACTAAGAAAACAGGGAGCTCTCCCGACCACACTGTGACCTGCTCTGCAGGTAACCCTGGTCCTTCCTCCTGGCCCAGCCAAACCCAGCTCAGCTACTGTAGAGGCATCCGATACCCCAGCAGGGGGAGGGAGGAGAGGGAGGGAGCCAGTGGGGTTAGGTAGTGCCCCTGCCCACCTTCTCCCTCCCCATCTTAGTCTACCCTGTCTCTCCCCGTGAGTAATGTTATAATTAAATCTGATAAATCCATTCTATCTGGTAAAAAGGGTCCCAATGTCATGGTTGGTTTGAGCCAATTGGGGTGGCGGATGGGACCCTAGGCTGGGAGCCAGGAGGCTGCCTCTGCTCCCCACTCCATTCTTCACGCCCTGCATGACCTTGAGCAAATGTTTGCCTTCTTGGGGCCTCAGTTTCTCTCTCTAGGAAAGCAGGATGTTGGCTTGAGCCATGGGTTCTAGTCTTGTTCCTGGT